GCCAATCCTCCTCTTTTTTTTTTTGCTGAGGAAGACTGGCCCTGGGCTAACATCCGTGCCCATCTTCCTCTACTTTGTATGGGACGCTGCCACAGCATGCCTTGGCAAGCAGTGTGTCGGTGCACGCCCGGGATCCGAACCAGCGAACCCCGGGCTGCAGCGGAGAGCGTGCACTTAACCGCTTGCGCCACCGGGCCGGCCCCCCATTACATTTTTGAAATCTCTTCTTTCAGAGTTCAGTTTATTTTGTACACAGTTGCGTTTTCCACCGTTCCTCCAGAGGGCCCCAGAGTGCAGAGACAGTTACTGGGGAGTGGAGCCCCCTGGCTTGTAGCCTCGTTAGATATGGAGACGTTAGCCAGGGAGAGTTGAGCTTGTACTTGTTGGAGGAGCTGTTACATTCTCTTTTAGAGCTCCCTAACTTTTCCTAGTGCTTTTTTCAGCTCTCGACCTCTATCCAAAGGATAAAGAACAGTCTTTTCTTCTCAGGGTCGTGGCTGGTGACGGTAGAACGCAAGGCCGGGGACTGCGGCTGAGAACTCAGGTCTTGAGGGGGTGATCTCTCAAATTCTTTGTGCACATTTACCAGTTGAGTTTACATCTTCAGTGTATGGATATTTATGTATAAATTATGTACACATACAATTTTATTAATATGTACCTTATAAAATGTCCCCTCCAAAATAGAAGCTTAAAAGGAATAAGCAAAAAAACATAATGAAAGTTTTGTTGTCTCCTTTCTGTACTCCAGTGAGGGTCACCTTGGAACCCACTGCTTTAGGTAATGGCCTTTCCTTGGAAAGGGGTTTGGGGAAGAGCATAGAGGTGGACTGGTGGGTTGTTGTGGCTGCAGGCATCTTTCTAATTTCCGTGGTCCTCTTGAAGCTTTAGTGAAGAGTGGGTCATGCGGGGAATCAGGACCTGACAGTCAGTGAGAGCATGCCTATGTGGAAGGCTCATTGCCCTCACTTGGCTGGAATTTCAGTGCAGAACGTGGCAGACTCAGTCCCAGGGGATAGCAAGGCAGGTAAGACACGTCGTAAGTCCCCACTTCGGGAAGCTCATCTTCTAGGCCTGACTCTGGGACAGTGTACAGGAAGTTTTAATAGACTTAGCCTAGTGCCCAGGCCTGCTGCTGAAGTTGTCTCCCCAGGACCCCCAGTATGATGTATAGTGAGCTGTTGTGGGGAGGGAGGCGGGGAAAGGATCTGGCTGAGGGTGTGAGTAGTATTCAAAAGGGAATTTGGTGGGAAAGATAAAGGTGGTATGGTTTTATCTGGACTATTCTGAGACTCTATCCCCATTCTCCCCAATCTATGTAGCATAGACTGCATTGAGTGCTGAGGGCCCACACAGGTCCAAATTTTGCTCTGTGGCCACCCAGAGAGCATCACATTGTTATCTACCTGATGGCTGTCACATATTTGGGGCTCCAGAATACACCCAGGTGCTATGAAGGCTCAGTTCTAAAATTCAGTTTGTTTTTTGAACTTAATCAAAGAGAAGTTGCTTAATAAGTGGATAGTAAAGCAATTGAGCCATTCCGTAACGGAAAGAAGGTTATGTATTGAGTTTACAGAGCTCAAAAGAGTCATATAATTTCACAGAATTAAATTGGGATTTTAAAATAAGGCGACTGGTCAAGTAAGTCTGGTCACTGAATGGAAAACCAGAAGATGACTACCCTAGGGTTACACATAAGTGCTGGCCCGCAGTGTGCCGGGCACTGCTGCCTTCCAAGGCTGAGGCCAAGGTGTCCGCAGTGCACTTGATCTCAGGCGGATACGATTTGACCTTTCACCTCCCCAAATGTGAAGTAGTCATGGCCTGATCTAACAGAAATTCTGTTGAGATTTGAAAAAAATCTAATCAGCAATCTTTGTTTAAAGGCAATATTTTTTTCCATCCCGACAATACTATCTGCTCAATTTTTAAAAAAATTAGAAACTGTAGAAGAGTAGAAAGGAGTCACCCACATTCCTGTTGCAAAAGAAAACCACCATGAACTCCCTGCAGCATAATTTGCCAGCATGTGGGTGCCTTTGGTGAAGGAGAGCTTAGCCGGAGGGTCTGTGTGGGAGGAAGGAGAGGATTCAGCTGTGTGGCTGTTGGCACAAGAGGCAGTACCTGGGCTGCAAGATCACAAATACCTGTTTCTCTGTTGAAGCCAGCCTGAATGCAGGATGGGTTGTGAGAGGACAGGCTCTGGGAGTGTGCAGGCAGCTTCTTCTGAAGCTGTCTGTACTGTCCGAGCAGGCCTTTTACCTGGTGGGAAGCCGTGTTTCCCTTGGGTTAGGCACGTGACAGCCAGTGACCTGGGATGTGCCCTGCAAGATGAGCCTTTCCCACCTCTGTTTGAACTTGCCTTCTCTTTCGCTGTCATAAGAACAGAGCTGCAATGGGCTCCAGGTTTGGTTCTCTCTGTTCTTGTGTCTTTTTGGAAAGAGATGCCATTTAATCTATATCCCTTCCGTAATGAACAATATCAAATGTTCGCTGCTGGGGCCATTGGATAATTTCCCTTATTGGAGAAATGAGAACATAAGCTGCGAGGGAAGCCTAGAACAATTGTTCTCAAACTATCTGTAGTGAAAGTCCAGTTTTATGTTTTTCTCAATCCATTGCAGAACAATCCTTTTGTCAAATACAATAAAAACAAATTACTAGAAAAATTAAAAGAAACCAGAGTCAAGCCCAAATTTTAGATTCAACAGACTTAAAATTACTCTGTTGAATTGCTATAGCATTCCTCAATGCTTTTTCTCATTTCTGTGCTTCCTGTGACCCTGACTTGTGCTGGACAGCAGACCACAGGTGGAGTTTTGTAAGATGTAGGGGACGGGTCATTTCTGGTGGAACTTGCAAGCTTAGATGCAAAGTATAAGCAAGTCCACCAGCAGCATAAACTTTGGAAATGGTCACAAAGCCCTATTCTAAATTGCTCATCTGTGTCAGTTTTGTAGACGCTAAAAGTATAGCAATGATCAAGACAAACAAAGTCCCTTTAATCAGGGAGTGAGGTAGGGATAGAAAATAAATATAAATACTAAGAAGTTATTCATAGTAATACATAATAGAAAATAAAGGGAGTAATAAGATCGATAATGGGAGGGGAATGGGCTGCTTTAAATATACTAGCTCAGGAAGCCGCTCTGAGGAAGCTACATATGTGCACATATCCCAGATGACAAGGAGTCAGATACTCGGAGATCTGCAGGAAGAACATTCTAGGCAGAGGACAGCAGGTGCAAAGGCCCTGAGGCAGAGATAGCCTTGGCACATTCAATGATAGAAGGGAGCTAGTGAGCCCTGCGGAGAGCAATATTGAAAGTAAGTTGATGTGGCCAGAGTTGCCCGTGGACAAAGGAAGAATAAATTAGGAAAGTGTAGATGAGGAAAATGGTGTTGTGGGCAGCCCAAAGGTGAAGCCGTGGGAACAGGGAGTCAGGTTGCACCTGGGAAAGATGCAGGACCCAGGAAAACCAGGAATCTCATCTGCGACTCAGCCCGGAGACCTGTGTATGGAGAGGAGGGGAAAAGGGGCCTGTTTCTCCATGGAGAACGTGATGGAGGAGGAGCCTGGGAGGGAGGGGCTTTGGGGAGAGGGGCCTGGCCTCGTGGAGGAAGGCCTTGAAGAGAGCACTGGAGAGAGTTTTCAGCAGTGGGTGGCAAGCGGCGGGCCCTGAGGCAGGGGCACAGACAGCCTTCGGGTGGGCTCTGCCACGTTCAACTCGGCTGGGCATTCCTAGCACTGAGGGGTTTCTGCAGAGTACAGCTCGCCCGACGCTGGAACCGCTGACTTCCTGCGGCAGGAAGAGGAGTCTTGGAGCGAGAAGTGTCTGGGCGCCGTGAAGACCAGCTCACACTGTCATCTTGATACTTCCAGTGATGAAAGGGTGGGGATGGGCTGGTGTCCTTATCTGAGGTGACTCAAGAGTTTCTTCTCTGAGGGTTGCACCTCCTGTTATACTTTCCTCCCAGCTCTCCATCCACCTGACTCTTTCACCTAACTAGGATGTAAAGGACATTTTTAAAAACGGGTATGAGATACAGTAAGGTTTTCACCAGAGCAGACAAACGGGAGTGATCTATTTAGGGAAAAGGTACCACTGTGTCGTCCCACCCCAGCCAAACCTGGAGTTACCTTTAAAGCAGATCAGTCCCTGCGGAAAAATATAATTTGGCATCACCTAACTCCCAAGGTCACCTAGAGTTTATGGTTATAGGAGAAAGGAAGAGATGCCCATAAGCCCAGATTTCAGTTTTGCTGTTTATTTTCTCACATTTAGAAAATGAGGGTGAACTCATAAGGTTTGCAGTATCCAAGTAGTTTTAAAAGCACCAGTTCTTTTTGAATTTGGACTTTTACTCACCCTGTTAAGGTGTAGGCTCAAATGAAGGTCTGAGTGAAGGATCTGGCTTTAATTGATTTAGACTCTAAAAAAATATATATGTATAATATTTATATATTTAATTATATATATGTTATGTTATATAATTATATAAACATTATATACTAGGTTTATATTTTATATTTATGTATTACATTTGTATATTTATTTTATATATATATAAAATTGTGTCTGGTAGCCTAAGAATAATACAGTCATAGGCTGTTAGAGCTAAAAGGGTACAGAGAGTATTTTGTCCCTTCGCTTCTTTAACAGAAGAGGAAACGGAGGTGATGTAACTTGCTCAAGGTCACCCGGGTCATTGAGAGCAGAACTGGGACTAGTCTAGTGATTTTTAGTTTAGTGCACTTTCTACTTTTATCATGTGACTCCTTAATCTTTGAGTATTCCAAATGCCGAAGCTAGGTTATAAAGTAGCATATTTTCTTCTAATATTAAATGTGTGGAGGTAGGTATAAATTCCTGATTACAGCTCCTTTCTGGGTGCTATATGTGCAGATTTGATTATTCTGTCACTGAAAATATTGCAATGACTAATTAGAATTAGGACATGCCTTGCATTTGATATGTTTTGTTTTTGGCATTTAGGTTTTCCTAGAACGTTAGTTCAGGCCGAAGCCCTGGACAAAATCTGTGAGCTGGATCTAGTGATCACTTTGAACATTCCATTTGAAACGCTCAAAGATCGTCTCAGCCGACGCTGGATTCATGCTCCTAGTGGAAGGGTGTACAACCTGGACTTCAATCCTCCTCATGTACATGTAAGAATATACTTTCACCAGTTGACAAGAGAGAGACAAAACATTTCAGTTGAGAAGTGGGTAAAGGATATGAGTAGATTTTAAAAAAAGGGCAAATCTACATGGTCAACAAATATTTTAAAATTTTCATTCACTAGGAGTCAAGGAATGCAAATTAAAGTAAAAATAGACTATCACTTTGGATCCATTGGACTTGGCAAAATTAAATAGGTTATAACATCTGTTGTTGGTGGGGATCTTGGAAAGACAATGCTCTTGTCTTTATTAAGTATGTAAAATATTTATAGTCTTCTAAAAAAGCAAGCTAGCAACATACATTAAAATTTTTAAGTGCGTTTTTCATTCCACCGCCCTCTGGGAGTACAGTCAATGGGAATGAAGCACTAGCAGGTAAGGTCGTGTACACACTAATGCTTATTTCAGTGTTCTTTGTAGTGGGAAAAACAAAAACAAAAAACAAAACTTGAAAACAAAATGAATGTGTATCTATAGAGGATAGTTAAATTAATTAGAGAACATCCACATTTTGGAATATTATGTAGTCAGTAAAAAGAATGACTTAATGACTTAGTGCTATACCCTTTGACCTGGAGAAATATTTCCTCTAGGTATTGCTGAATGATAAAAGCAAATGGAATGATTCCATTTTTGTAAAACAGTGGCCAATCTTCTTTAAATTTATCTGTTTGTGTGTTGATCTGTGCTCTCTAGCTTCGTAAGAGCAGGGATAGAGATAAGAAGGATATATCCTGGGCTGGCAAAATGGTTGGGGCTGGACCTGAACAAGGAGCTGGGTCAGAGTGCGGGGTCACGTGAGTGGTGGGAGTGAGGAGGTAAGGGGACTAGGGAGGATGAAGGGAAAAAAAGTTCAAATATAACATCTATACATTTGCATAAAATTAAATACATGTAAAGATATATGTTTAAAGAAACTTTTTAAATTAAATTCATTTAAACAGTTATTGTTCTTTCTGGTAGAGACATGAATTAGTTCAATCTGATCATTTTTGACTCCAGTTATTTGGTGGTAGATAGTATTACTTGTCGTCCAAACATGAAAGGGATGGCAGTTGTGTCTTACTGGGTTAATGTTTATGGAATAGGTTAGACTTGAATCTAGACAGAGCCAGTAATTCCTACAAAAATGACTTCAGTGGGGTAAGGCTGCCTTCCCAGCTCCTGGTGCCACAGCTTCAGCAGAGTTCCAGTGAGTCTTGTTCATTTGGACTAAGCACTAGTCTCCTTTTGAAGTCTTCTTTTTAAAATGTAAGTCGTTCTGGAATTCCTTTATTAGATCCCTTCCTCCTTTCCATCCTAAGAAGCTGGTATAGGGGAAAAAAAGTATGCAAAGGAAAAAAGCGCTCTGAAAATGCAGATGGGAGCACTGAAGTGCAACACAAATGCTTCGCATATTGGCTCTGTCTAGACCTGCTGATGCAAAGACTGTCATAAACTTTGAGAAGCCTGAACGCTGCCTTGCTTTCTAAAGGATGGTCATCCCTAAAAGAGCACCTGCAATTATAGTGTTACTTCCAAAGACATCAGTGAAAGTGCTCCACCAGCTGCTGTGGCCAGGCTCCCCCAGAAGGAGGGATGCTGTTGCCCTAGATCATTCTAAACGCTCGTTCTGGAAGCCGTTGCTGTATTTGCTGGGGATCTGAAGTCCTGGAAATGATTTCTGAGCTTTGCGTCTATTAGTAACTAAAGGAGAGGGGAAGGTAGGAGATGGACAGCCTCCTCCCATCCCCGGCTCCCCTGTTGTGTGAGGGTAACAGCTGTGGGATACACACATGATAACTGTGTGGCTCACCAATAGAGCGTAAGTGTGAGTTATGTCCCAAAGGCCCTGAGCTGTAATGGAATTTTAGTGCATTTCAAATTTATAGCCAGTTTCTAATTATCCAGTTGAGTTGCCAGAGCCTTTTGGTTCTGCTCTAGCCTGTCTTTTGACAGATTTACCTCTTGTAACTGTCTCCCCTGGGGGGTAATAGCCATGGACACGGGAGGCAGATTTCTGATGTGTCCATTTTGCTGCTCGTAAGTAGGTATGGTTCCTGAGGCTGTTAAAATACATCGAAAATCACGGTTTTTTAAATTGCAGTTTTTCAGTTCTCAGAATGTTTGTTCCTGATTATCATGGATATATGATTCATGCCTATTTTAATTCACCTTTAGATAAGTCATTTGATTTTGTAAAATAACCTTAGTAAGATGAATCTCGGAAAAGCTACATGATAGAATTGGAAAGCTAGCAGAGATGGGACAGCAATTCTCCTAGATGAGTATTTTTCCTGAGTAAACCAGTTGGTTCTTTGAGACATTTAATTTTCCATATTGGGAGCTCGGGCTTTAGAAAGAAGGCAGTTTTAGGAATATTTAGAGGGCCAGAGTGACATTGTCTGAAGGTTGTTTGTTTTTGGGGGAGGGTAGGTGGAGTTCTAAACTGTGAATTGAAAGTATCATTTATTGATAGCACTGGAACGTGTTTGGAAAGATCTGAGAAGTGAGTAAAGATTTCATGTCAGGGCCGGCCCTGTGGCTTAGTGGTTAAGTGCGCGTGCTCTGCTGCTGGCGGCCTGGGTTCGGATCCCGGGCGTGCACCGACACACCGCTTCTCCGGCCATGCTGAGGCCGCGTCCCATATACAGCAACTAGAAGGATGTGCAGCTATGATGTACAACTATCTACTGGGGCTTTGGGGGGAAAAAAATAAATAAATTAAAAAAAATAAATTAAAAAAAAAAGATTGCGTGTCACTTCTCATGAGATAAAGGTAACATACTGTTAAGAGTGCTGGTTCTTTCTCAGCAATCTTCACCGTTGCCATTGTCACCCAGGCCTAACGCAGCATGTGGTCGGAATCAAAGGGGAATGCATGGTTTGCACAGGGAAGTTCTTACCTATGGAATGGCCCAGTGCTGGCCATATTAACTGGTTTTCCTGGTATTTGTAGGGGATTGATGACATCACTGGTGAGCCGTTGATCCAGCAGGAGGATGATAAACCTGAAGCAGTTGCTGCCAGGCTAAGACAGTACAAGGACGTGGCAAAGCCAGTCATTGACTTATACAAGTGAGTGTCATCAGCGTTTCCCCGGCAGACGGCCATCTACAGAGGGGTGGGGCTGGTGGGATGGACGTTGGGCTGAGGCGGGGTGGTGTTCCTTTAAGCTAGAAAAACCCTACAGGCCCAGCCCCTCCCCAGGAGTGAGGTGAAACGCTGGAGTTGTACATGGGAGTTGACGCCCAGTGCTTTTATGTTGAAATTCTTATAACGTAAGGTCCGAAACCTGATCCTCTCTGTTTCTTTGCTTGTAAAATTAGGTCTAGAATTATTTTCATTTTTCTTTTTAAGTGGCTGAAATAATGGTTACATTTTGATACCCCCACATGTAAATACCTGATTTGGATATAGAAGATTTGAAAGGACTTTCGGTCTAGCTGTGTCTGGAGGGTGTTTAACAAAGAAAAGCTAAAACTATAAACCACAGATTGCCACTTCAAATGGCTCCAGGGGCCAGGCCACTGTGGACGTGACTGTCAAACCCGGTGGGGGATGTGTGAGTGACAGATGAGCCGATCCGCTCCTGTGCTGTTCCCACAGTTGCTCCAGAGGGGTACTCAGGCCCAGTGTGGTCAGTGACCCCTGTTTTTCCAGAGAAGCAGAAATCTGGCTTTCTGTGTGGAAAAAAAAATCTCAACTTTTACCTTGGCAATAAATTTAAAGAATTTTAATAGCATGCAAGCCAAACGAAACCCATACGTGGACTGCATTCAGGACAGCGGTTTACAGCCTCTGCTGTAATCTGTTTCTGACCTGTAGATCAGAGGTTCCTGATTACGTTATTCTGATGCATCCTGTGTTTCATGATCTATTGTTGTAAGTCATAAGGGTTTTAGAGCACCAAAGTTTGTCAGTGATTTGCTTTTCAAAAGTGTGTATGGAGGCAGATTTGGGATTGTCCCTATAATGTTACTCTTTGCTGTGTTTTAAAGGGGAGAAGAAAAGGTGGCCTCACGCAAGCATGCCAGAACTGTGAACGCTCTGGCCTATTTAGATGTCCCCAGTAGTGATGTCGATCCACTTGAAGGGGCTGTTTGGGCACTTAGTGATGTGTGACGTAGACCCTGAGATGGCGCTGCGTTCATCCCAGGCTCTTCGTCTGCCCTGACACCGTGGTAAAGGAAACCTGAAACCCTTTGTGTGTTGAACTTTGTTTTTCAGGAGCCGAGGAGTGCTCCACCAGTTTTCTGGAACGGAGACTAACAAAATCTGGCCTTATGTTTACACGCTTTTCTCGAACAAGATCACACCTGTTCAGTCCCAAGAAGCCCACTGAGCCCGCCCAGTGGGAGCACCAGGAGGATGTGGCCATTCTTGCAGCTGTACATGTAGCATTGGTGCGTCCCAATTAGAAGCTAGCCGAGATAGCTCACAGCGTCTTCTCTAGTTTAAATGGTGAACTGATATGGAAACTAATGAACACAATAAGAGTTAATGAAGAGGCTCTTCTCTGCCTTTCAAAAGAAGCATCACGCACACATGTTTAAGATGTCTCTGCACGTGTCGCAAGCCCTTCACAAGAATGCGAGTACAGGCTGATTTCAAATGGTGTAGAACCCATCACTAGCTGATTTCTGACGGTCGTGTTGTTGCCGGAGTAGCCTTTTCGCACATAGTAGTGCTGGTCTTTGGTTCTCCCACGCCCCCAAATGAACCTAGCACCAGAGGGCCTGAGAATGCCAAGGACTGTGGCCCGGGCTCTGACCCAGGTCCTCTGGTGTGTGGCCTCCTGGTGACCATGGGATTGAAACCAGTTGCTCTCGGTGGTCACTTCTCTGGCCTTGAGTGGCTGTGTCCACGATTCATTTTTTCTGTTGGGAGTGACCCCTTCTTTTCTGCATCCATTGCTCCATAGAATCTCTCCTTTCAGACATCCTGGAACGAAAGGATTTGGCTTCTGCTCTTTTGATTAGACTGTATTTTTTTTACATCTGTTTTCTCCCTTCCTAGGCCATTAAGTAATATGGGTAGTCATTGCTTCTGTCCTTTTCCAATTCCTTTCTAAGAGCTGAGAGCTAGGGGACGATGTCTAAATCACTTCACGCACCAGGAACTGCGCTCTGTGGAGGGTACACTTGCACTGCTGGTCTGACTCTCATGGGCTGACACCGCTCCTCTCTTTTATTGCAGAAGAATAAAATCCTCAGAGTCTTTTGGGAATTCTCAAAAAAATGGGAAATATTTGCCTCTATAAATGTTAAAAGATCATATCTTAATGTAGAGAAGTAATAAGACTGCATGGAATTACTGGACTAAAAGAATAGTTTAGCTTTGTATTCAAGACAAAAAAATGTCTTTTAAAAATGCTGCTAAGTATTGATGCTGAGGGTGTTTTTCTCTCGTGAGCGACCCAAGCGTATTGTAAATAGTTGGTAAAGGGGATCTGGATCCTGGGGATTAAGGAAACGTGTTGCACTAGCTGTGCCTAGGCTGGGTATGACAGCTTTACGATGAGGAGAAAACAAAACCGTAATTTTTTTCTGTTCCAAAGATGCTTTCTATAGGGTGGCCATTAAATCTAGAAATATAGATAATACTGTTTTATCAATTGTAATGTAATATCAATAAACCATTTATTAAGGATTTGCCTGGTTTCCAGACTTGGTGGCCACCTTGTATCATTCTTGCTCTCCTCTGGGAAGAACAATGAAATTTATTCCTGTTGCCTTAAAAATAAACATCCCTCTTCATGCATCCTGACTGTCCCCAGGGAGGGTCCTTTATTATTCCTGGGAGTGACTTCAATGTCATCATTGCCTTTGGAGTTTCCAGGAGAGGTACAGGAAATGGGAAATGGCCTGATCCCTGATTCCATGCTCTACTCCTCCGTCCTTCCCTCCTTCTCCCTTCCAGCAAAACAGACATTTATAGCCAGCGTTGGAGTCACTCAGTATGTCTCAACAGTGTTTGCTGTTTCTGGGATGGCCCAGTGGTGAGAGTCCTTTGCTAGGTGAGACCAATAAAAGACAAACACCTTTTCTGTGGTCTTTGAAAGAGGATGCGTGTTTCATGTTCAGTGGCCTAAAAAATCTATTTCTAGTTTTCTTCAACAAACTAGTTGTTCCTTCAATGATTTTGTAAACAATTAAATTTTCTTGAAAATATTTCGACAAAAGTAAAATTAAAAGGCCGTCTTTTCTTGGTTTTCCTTCTGCTGCCCCACACACGGTTCCTTCACAGTTACACAAAAAGAGGAGATCAGGGGTCTCTGAGATTCCTCCTGTCCTCACAGTCTGTGACTCTTGCCAGCTCTGAGTTCATTTTGCTCTCCATTATCCTGACGGGCTTCCCACTTACTTAAAAATGTTGCTGTGTTCAATACCCTAGAACACTAAGGCAAACAGAAAACAGGGACATTTATTGTAGGCCTGCTGAGAAATGTATGCAGTTTTAGGACCTTTATAAAGGTCTCACATAATCTTTCAAGCATCCGATGGGATAGGCCTGATCCCACATTTACACACAGAGAAGGCCGAGGTCGGGAGGGGGGGAAGCATCCTGCCCTGCTCTTGTTGCCAGTAAACAGGTAGCCGGGACTCACACAGGAGTTCCTGACTCTGCCTGCTGGGTTTGCTCCTGGATATTAATCACCTGTGTCCTGTCTTGGGCAACCCAGGGTGCAAGCCTGCTTAGTTTTGCTTATATTTCTGAATGGCCTCGCATCAAAAATAGCCGAGTTCCCTCTGGTGACATTCAGCTCTGTATGAGACGGCTCTCTTTTTTTTAACCCTTTGCTTCAGCAAAGGAAGCTGCTAGAGGAGAGTCTGAGCCGCTGATCCTCCTCCTTAACTACTCATTTATAAATAAAATGAAAGGCTGTGGAAGTGGGCTGGGCTCGGCTCCAGGCTAATCTGGAGGAGGCAAGCTCATTTGGTGTCCATGGTGTTGTCCCCCTGTGGGGACCCTTACCCTGGGGCCACCCCCGCCATGGTGCTCACACATAGGCCTGGGCTCCTGGGAGCATCCAGACACTACTCCCTTTTCTTCCCTGAGATCAGAACAAATCACTCTGTCACTCCCACCCCCAAACAAGGCCCTGATAATAAACTGACGCTTCCTGGAGTGCTGGCAGGTGAACAGATGGTGACTGAGCCCCTAACACGGTAACCCTTGACTTCTGTACCGTCTCCCTGTATCACATTACACATCAATGTGATTCTGAGTGCCACATTCACACCTTTGCCCGCCATCTGGTGTGGTGACACTGCTTGTGGTGCACAATTCTGGCAGAACCAGGGGAGACTGGCTTCCTATCTGCCTTCCCAGGGTCGCTCCCCGCCACCCTCCAACAGCCAAGCTCAGGTGAGCTCCAGCTCTACCCAGGTGTGCCCCTCTCTCGGGAGGGAAGGGAGAAGGTCAGAATAGCTGTGGGTGCGGGAGGATTCTTGGAGAGAGGTGCTGCTGTGGCTTTTCCTGCCATTTAAAATGTAGAGACAGGATAATTTTAGATGGAAAGATGCCAGTGCAAACCCATAAATAGGGCTTTTATAAAATTTAGTTCACTGGAACCTGAGTTCTTTATTTGACTTTAACTATTTGTCTAACAGTTTACCAGACTGCTGGGGTCTTTGTTCAAATTGTAAAGACTGCAAATTTCCAAATGTGTAAGGGGATAGGCGTTTTTAGTAGTTATTGTTTATTGGCACTTCATGCTAAGCACATTACAAGCATTGTCTAATTAACTCTTTACCAATGGCCCTCTGTAAAAGATATATATATTTTTTTGTGAAGAAGATTATCCCTGAGCTAACATCTGTTGCCAATCCTTTTTTTTTTTGCTGAGGAAGACTGGCCCTTAGCTAACATCTGTGCCCATCTTCCTCTGCTTTATATGGGACACCGCCACAGCATGGCTTGACCAGCGATGCATTGGTCTGCACCCAGGATCCGAACCTGAGAACCCCAGGCCACTGAAGCGGAGCACGCGAACTTAACCGCTATGCCACTGGAGCGGCCCCTGTAATAGATATTATTATCTCAATTATCTTGCCTCCTTGTATTTAAAAACTGAAATAATCTCGTTTACTTAAACTTGTGTTTTTATGTACCTATAGGGATTAATCAAGAAATTCAAAAGGGCCTTTTTGGTACTTTCCCTACTTTGAGCTCTCCATTCTCATTAATAGGTAAAATGATGTATTTGCTCCCACCTGGAATCTTTGCTTTTGGTGCTCTGGTGCTGAGACAGGAAATGGGCATTCAGTGGGTCCTAGTGGTAGTTGCACACTGTATGTACAGAGGGCGTACATGTCTCCTCTGTACTCTGCTGGTTAGAGGATCTTGGGAGGCGTTCATGTCTACCTGATGCACTTTATTACCCTTCATTTAACAGACAGTATCTTTTCTTGCTGCAGTGAATTTTGTCACAGAGGCAAGTCGTAAGGCAGAGTCGTGTTGTAGTATGAATTTGTTCCCCTCCATTTGTAGTACTCAAATGATATCTCAAAAGAAGAACCCAGTAACAGAGACTCCTTCTAATATGGGGTTGTGGTCCGGTCATAAGTTAACATCCCTTTCCCTATGTAACTGACCCGTTCTGGTCCTCGGAGGAGAAGGAAGAGTGTAAGTCCCGGATGTTGGGAAACCGTGAAGCTGTATTTCAAGTATGTGAAATATCCTGCATCTGTCGAGAAATATAATTACAGTTGTTCATAAATGCCATACCTTATCTTTCTTTTAAAAAATTGCACAATTCCTGCCAAAATAAATGCCATTATCTGTATGCTTCAGGGAATTCCCCAATTTGATCAGTGTGTGTGTGAGAGAGAGAGAAAAAGACAGAGATGGTAAGACATTTCCAAAAAGGTAGCTGCTCTTGTGTAGCTTGGTTGCTCTTTCCTTCCTTGGTGATGATTAGGCTGTTCCAGGAAGCACAGTGTTGTTCTTGAAATAAAAGATCTCCCGTTTAACACTTCTCAAAGGAGCCGAGCATCTTGAAGATCCTCCCCAGGGTTGGTGTGTGTCTGACTCCATTTCGTAAAACCTTTCTTTTCATTTGAAAGCTTTGGCTATAAAGTCAGAAATGTACTGCATAAAAACAAACTTGTATTTAATTTAAAGAAGAGGAAAGGGAAGAAAACCGAGAATTCAGCCCTGATATAAGCTCCCGGGTGTCAGGGCTTGGGGGCTTTCCTAGTTTCTGAGAATTTGTACTACTGATTTTTATATGTTCTTGTTTTTGAGATGAACAGATCTCTGGGGAAATGGTCTAGTTACATGGCATTTCACTGTGATCCTCCGAAGCTGAAGACAGCTCTCTACCCTAATGACAACTTGTCTCTTTGGTTTACTGTCCTGTGAAATGTCAGCCAGTTTCCCAGAAGTCGCGTGTTTACGATGAGTCAGCGCTTCTTCTCGGTGTGGAAGTGTCGGCCCTCTTGATTTCGGTGTGTGTGCTTCATTCCAAGAATATAAAGCTGTAGTCTAATCTGTATATGCTCTCCTAACTGTTAATTGTATTATTGATTATTTTATCTTGCTTGAAGATTGAGTCATACTTTTTAATTTGATAGAAATAAAGGTTTTTTTCCTGCTTATCCTAGTGAATTTATTTAACATTTATGTAGCTTTTTACACTTGACAGAACATGTCTTCACAGATATTCTTTGTGCCACTCTGCA